CATGTTTCCTAGCTCTTCTCCTTTCCCTCTCTTGATTAGTTAGCCCTTGAGATCCTGCTTTCCTTTTACTTGTATTATACCTTTTTATTTGTATTTCTTCTTTTGAATTCTTATACTAGGGGCTATGCCTCCTTTAATGTCTACCTCAGTCAGAGCTGTCGGGCAAATGAAAGTGATGACAACACCAATGACGTGTCTAGTACAGGGCAACCCACTCAGGACTCCTCCTGTCTCTCAGAAGCTATTCTCATTCCCAATGTTCCTACTCTTTAAAAATTGCCTAGTATAATGTCCAAGACGTAGAAAGCTTCAAGCAGCCATTCACTCAGGTATCCTACCATTTTAATCATTATTATTCCCACAAGCATCTCTCATGCAGGATCTGAATTTTTGAGTCTGCCTGAAGCCTGGAGCCCATGGCTGGGCACTTTCTAATCTAATGTTCTTCCTCAGAAAGGCTGCTCCCAACCCACCACAGGCTCCATAAGAATTCTCTGGGCTGCCTGTGGTGGCTAAAGATGGGAGTTCGAGGGTTTTCTGTTAGCACAGCTGGGGTCTGGGCAAGCTGTGTGGACGCAGGATCCAGAAGGGGATGCATACTTGAGTGGATTCCTTGCACAGGGCTGGGATGGTAAGCAGCTGCTGCATCCTGACCCCACATTCCTGTGGCGCTCCAGTCCCCTGACTGCCTGCTGTTCTCTTCCTGGGTGCTGCCCTGGGCCCAGACTGTCCTGCCTCATTTTGACATGGATGGGCTTTTGGCAAGATCTCCCACAGTGCAAGTGGGTGCCGGCCAGGTGGTGCTCATGAATCCTACACCTGCTTGCCTCCCTCCCTGGCTGGGTCCCTGCTCCCCCCTCTTTTTTTTTTTTTTTTTTTTTTTTGGCGGAACCAGGGATTGAACTCAAGCCCCACCTGCTCCCCTTGACAAGTTCACTCAGAAAGAACCTCAAGCTTTCCTGGACTCCTGCATACTGATCCTAGCTCTTGTGGGCAGCAGCATAGCTTGTCTCCAAGTGCATCTAATGGAGTTACAGTGAAAGTCATTCATCACCTAAGGATAGCAACACATCCTGCAAGATGTGCCATTGGACAATTTCATGCTTGTGTGAACAAGACAGAGTGTGTTTAACCAAACTAGAGGGCACAGCGAATTCCTCCACATGGTTTCCTGATGCAGTCAAGAAACACAGTGAACGAAACACGTGAGGCCAGCATAGCACTGTGAAGCTCACAGTGGGTTTTAAAAAAAAATAGGTATGCTCCCAACGTTGCCCCTGTTTGACGCACATGGCGCCGAACTGATTTAATTTCGGATGAGATTGTTCCTGCAACAAGATGTTAGTAAATAGGGGCCGGGGAGATAGCTACTGATAGCTCAGTAGAATAAGTGAGACCCTGTAATAAATAAATAAATAAATAAATAAATAAATAGTAAATTCAAAAGCCACTTATTATTGTTACCATTTATGCACTGTGCGTGATTATGTCTGCTCAACTTTCACACGCTGCAGTGCAGCAGATCTGTTTACACCAGTGTCACCACACCATGTGTTGTGCTGTGACACTAGGAAGCACACAGCTTCAGTGGGCACTTGGAATTTTTAGCTTCTACAGGAAACTTAAGAAGGCTTAGGGGATATATAGCTCAACAGCATAAATGCCTGTGTGGCAAGCATAAGGTCCTGAGTTCTATCCCTGGTACCACAAAAGTAAATAAACAAAGAAGGCTTAAGTGAGGCCCATTGTTTTGTTTTCTTGTTTGCTTGCTTTTTATTTAGTACAGGGTCTACAGAGTCTCACTAGGTAGATCAGACTCAAAGTGATTTTACTGTTTACAGCTCCCAAGTGCTGGGCTTACAGGCACACACCACCATGCCCAGTCTTAATCGCCGTCATGAGGCCCATTGTTGATCCAAAAGTCATTGCTCAGCACATGACTCTATTTGTGAAATTTTTCAGTTCTCACTGAGCTATTTGATATGCTGCTTGGTCATAGTTTTGGGGTGTATGCATGACTCTGGGGTAAATCCCTCTTACACATGCTAAGAAAGTGTTCTGCCACTGAGAGGCATTCCTAGCCCTTGTTTTCTCATTTTTTATTTATCTAACTAACCACTCCAGTCTATTTCCTATCAAAAGAAGAAATGTAAGTAGGTAAGCTTGCAAATGTTGTAGTCACTTAACTGAACTATACATAATTTTGGACATGTATTGCTTTTTCAAAAAAATGTATTTAGTATGGGGTCTACAGGGCTCACTATACAGATCAGATTCGTAGTGATCCTCCCATTCTTGGCCTCCTAAACGCTGAGATTACAGGCATGTGCCACTGCACCCAGTCACAATTGCTATCTCAGCACGCTCAGGGGCAGGGCCAGCATGGCTTTCCAGAAACAAACCCGGTCACTATGCCTGCATCCACTGAGCTATCTGGCCAGGCCGTGTGTTGCCTTTCACAGTACTTGGTTTCTGTGAGTCTCAAAGATTCAAAGACTTGAGACTGGGCGTGGTGGTGCACGACTCTAATCCTGTAATCCCAGTTTGTAGAAGACTGTAAACAGGCAGATCACTAGGACTCCGATCTAGTAGTGAGACCCTGAACACCTTATAGACCCTAAAATAATTAAAAAAAAAAAAAAAAAAAAGGTTCAAAGACTTAAGTTCAACTATTCTAGCTGTTCATAACTGTCTCGGGTGGTAGGTGCTTCCCAGGAAAAGACATACACTCTCATGAAGTCGATTTTGCACAAAACTTGTGGGGACAGCTGGATTCCTCCAATCCCCGGGCTCCCAGTAGAATTGAATAAACAAGGAAACATAAAACCCAGGAAGGCTAAGGTGACTCAAACTGCCAATGAATTCCACTGTTAGAATTTAATCTCAGATCTGCTGTCCCAGCTAATGGCTATTCCAGGAGAGTCACACCCTGGGCCTTAGTACCTGGGTAAGGAGTCTGATGGAGCTGCCTGTTGGCTGTTTGGCTTGTGCAAGTTACATAACGGAGTCCCTCTGTGCCTCAGTTTAATCAGCTGAAGGGGGTGATAGTAACAGGACATCTCTCCCTGCCAGTAAGCTTGGCATTGCATTAGTGTTCCTGTAACCACTTTGCGATCAAGAAGCACAAACTTGGGGAACCAAGCATTGCTCCGGCCACGGAGCTCCAAAGTGACACGCGACTCCCACCCTCAGGATGTGACCCAAAGCCCACCTGCCAAGGGAGACGCAAGGACTGCGTGTACTGCAGACGGGCTTCCCAGGAGCGCTCGGCCCCAGGAGTCACCCAGAGCGTAGCATTCAGGAAATCCCCACCCTCTCTGGGGCTGTGGGCGGGCTTAGGCAACACTTTCAGTTTTGTTTCCTTCTCGGCTAGAAAGGAAACTCACCAGGAAGCCTCTGGGAGTGAAACATGGAGGAAGATTTCCAGACGTGCGGGAACTGGTAAGCAGCCACTTTCTGTGGCATCTGGCTTGAGGCTGGCCATCAGGATGGGAGATAGCAGCAGGCTGCTTCTGATGCCAGGAGACCGTCGTCCTGTCTGCCCCGTAGAGAGAAAATGCCTAGCAGCGCAGGGGTAGAGTGGGGAGGGGTGGGGGAAGCAGCAGATCTCTAAATAGGCTGGCCAGTGCTATCCAACTTCACAACATCCTCTCCGCTCACTTATTTGGGGCTTTGGAGGTCAGCCCTGAGGTTGAATAGCCAAGTTCACTGTCCATAGGGCTTCTCCTACTAGTCAGAGCTTAGTTCTGACAAGAGATTCTGATAATACGGTCTTGATGCCAGTTTGTGAAAGAAAGTGGCTGAGGGAGGGTCTCGAGGCCCATCTCATCTGCAAGAGGCTCAGCAGACAGGGTAGGAGCCAGGACCATAGCACCAACCGGGAGCTCCAGGGAGTGACAGAGCCTGACTCTCTGAGCTCCTCACCTGTGGCAGGAATCTGAGTGGAGCAACCCCAGAGAGCTTTGCTCGGTCTAGGCCTTTCGAGATCTCTGGTAGATGGCCTCTCAGTCCCTTGCTTTAGACGTTCTGAATGCTTCCACCCTTGCAAGACATGCAGATGTTGCCAGGCTATGTTACTAGCTGGCTTGGGCCCATCAGGTGCACCACAAAAGAAGGAGAAAGATTTGGATGTTTATCATTTTGTTTTTATAACAGTTTTCCTGAAGAATCATTGGCATAAACTGCACATCTTTATAGAGTATTGTTTGACACTTTCTGACACACATTATACACCTGTGAAACCATCCCAGGAGCTAGGAAATGAAGCTCATCGTCACCCTAGAATCTCCCTGGGGCCCACCGAAATCCCATCGTCCTTTTTCCCATGTTGATGGCTTCTGAAGAGCTTGCACTAGGTGTGAAAGCATACTCGTTTTATATACCATTCTTCCACCTTTTTTGTAGCAAGAAAAGCGTGCCCTCTTCCCACTTCATCCTCCACGAGGCCCACTGCCTCCGGTTCCTGGTCCCCAGGCAGAAGAAGCCTGTTCCAGGGGTGAAGATGCAGGAGCACTGTGAGCCGAGGCACCTGCAGGTGAGCAGGTGGCAGGAGAGACAGCACCTGAGAGCCAGGGATCTTCTTTCTCAGCAGCAACTCAGGACTCACACGGCCCCGGGGGCAAATCATCTAGCTCCCCAAGTTCAAATTTAGTTTATGAAAAGGAACCTGTTTTTCTTAGGCTAAGTAAACTCTAACCCCTTTCCCAATGTTTTCTTTTTTTCCTTTCTTAGTAATTTAGTTACATTTTGTCAGGGAAGGGATTGCTACAGGGCCTTACTGCATAGCATAGACTGACTTTGAACTCTTGATTTATTGCTTCAGCCGATTGGGTTCTGGGAAAACAAGTGCATGCCCCTGTGCCCACCTTCCAGTCCTTTCCCTTCCAGTCCAGGAGAAAGAGAGGGAGAGCGGGGAGAAGCCACTTCATTCTTATCCACATGGGCTGAGAGCAGGGGACAGGGCATGGCATTCCCATTTCAAGAAAGGTTTAATTTTTTTTTTTTTTTTGGTGGAACCCGGGATTGAACTCAGACCCTTGCACTTGCTAGGGAAGTGCTTATTCCACTGAGCCATCTCCCCGGCCCCAAGAAAGGTTTAATATTTTGAGATTCATGAACAGGAGTAAAAGGAAAGGAGGCCCCCAGATATACTCAGCTGATTTTTCTTCTCTGCTTTTGATGTCTTGGGCCACTCATCTGTCTTGCACCTCTCATCTGTCTTTCTGGAAATCCTCAAGCTAGGTATCTGTTTCAATTCAAAGTGGTCCAGCAAGTACTTCTTGTACCACTGGGCTGGGTGCTGGAGGGAAACTGAGAGAGTGACACCTGATCTCTACCCTTAGGAGCTCATAAATCTCAGCCTGAAGCCCCTTGAATGAAGGCGGATATGGGGAAAGGCCAGGGCTGCATGCTGGAGCCCATGTCTCTGTGTGTGTGTTTAGGTCACATGTGCGATGTGTCAGCAGAGTGTGCAGGAGTCCTTGCTGGAACTGCATGAGGTGAGAGTCACGTGTGATTCTGGGAGAAGGAGAGGGAGAGAGGGGAGAAGCCACTTCATTCTTATCCACATGGGCTGAGAGCAGGGGAGAACCAGCCACCTCCAGTACACAGGTCCTCCTGCATCTGGATGCTGGACAGAAGGACTTTCTATGGGTTCCGAGTCCAGGAGAGCTTGTATCTCTGGCCCTTCTGTCACTTTCTGTGATTAGTTTCAATTCCTGGGGATGGCCTTGTTTCGCTGGTCTATCCTCCATCTTAGTAGCCAGTGATCACACCCTTCCTGCTGCCTCTCACAGACTGAGGAATGCCTGGAGCGCCTTGTTGAGTGCCAGTTCTGTGAGCTGACCATGCATCTCAGCAAGCTGGAAACCCACGAGTCCCACTGTGGCAACCAAACCAAGCGCTGCCCACACTGTGACGAGCTTATCTTGTTCTGGCTGCTGGATGAGCACAAAAATGTTTGTCAACATAAACAGGCTCCTCCCATGGAAGGTGAGCATCTAGGAGAGGCTGGGAAGGAAGAGGGAAGCTATGAGGCCCAAAGCGTCTGTCCAGTGGGATGCAAAGACCTAAAACCCCCAAGAAATGAAAGAGAAGGGAATTCATTGCACATGCTTCAGTTAAACTGGCTGTTTTAGTTCTGCACTGTTCATGAGAGCATAACCTTCTTGTGTTCCTCCTGTGGTCTTTACATGGGGGCCAGGGCAGTTTGGGAACCACACAGCCAAGAGAGGAAACCATCATGAGCCCTAAAAGTGGGGGCTTTCTTTGAACTCCTCCAGCACAAACCTAGCTTGGTGAGAGCCATTTGAATCCTTATGTAGACGGGTAACCTTAAGCCAGGTATGGTGGTGCATACCTGTAATCCCAGCAATCAGGGCTGAGGCTGGAAGATTGCTGCAATTTCAAGGCCAATCTAGGATACAGAGTGAGACCCATCTCAAAGAACTAAATACAAATGAGAAACCTACACAGAGAATCAAGCCAGGGCTTACTAGAAGCAAAAATCATCCTGGATTCTTAAGTTTCCCAGCCCAAATCTACACCTTTGTCCACCATCAACTTTGGCCAAATGGAAGCCAGCTGTGGCCCCTTCTGACCTTTGGGCCTATGTGTTGGCCCCTAGTATCACTTCATCTCCTCATGTCCTCATTACCACTTTCTGATGGTGTGTTACTGACTTTACTGGTTGCTTTCACAGTAGCATGTGGAAAGAGCCTAAAATCCCTTAAACCATAGATATCTCCTAGTAAACAGTCTACCCCAAGTCAAAACTAGCCAACAAAAACCTGGAAAATATGAAATCTGTGTCTATTTTTTTCATTCTAATTTGCTGAGATTTCATACAACCAACACAGTCAACAACACAACTTCAATACAACATACCTTCAACACAACCTTGTGAACAACTGACACCTGGGCTCATGACTCCCTTCATCTCCTTGAAGAGCACCCCTGCTCCCTGAAAAATGTTTCTTCATCAGCACTATGTGGTAACCTAGGGCACGAGGTGGACACAAAGGAAATAATGTGGGTGTGTTTGCTTGTTTGTTAGTTCGACTGATTTTATGAGATAGGGTCTCACTATGTGATTCAAGCTGCTCCTAAATTCACTATGTGGCCCAAGCTGGGCTCCAACATACAACGATCCTCTTGCCTCCACCCCTTGAGTGCTGGGTTGACAGGTGTGTGCTGCCACATCTGGCTCGGAGTGGTTGAGAGCTAAGGGTTGTATGTACAGCTGAGGATCCTTCCTGTGTGGGAAACCAAAACCAGGCAGGCTGCAGGCAGTTCATGCTCCAGAGTGCTGACCATGTGGCCATTTGGGGGAGAGTTAGGGTAACCATTGCCAAAGGCAGTCATTTGTGGTGTTGTTTCTGTGCTTATCCAGGAAAAAGAACATCAGATCCTGAAAGCAAAATCTACTGTAATTATTGCAACAAAATAATTACAGGAAGTAAGCATAGCCACTATATGGTGAGTAACAAACAATTAGTCGTTCTCTAATAGTGCCAATATCCAGTTCATGTACCAAGAAGTGTGATATGGAAGGAAGATTCTAGTCCAGTTTTACATGGCAGGGTCTATTGTTGCATTTTTAATGCTTATTAGTACATATTTGCTATATATACTGATTATGTTCATTGCAGGGAATTGGCACATGTACATAACCCATCTCAATTCTTTTTACTTCCCTTGATCCTTCTCTTTCTCCCTCACTCCATCTCTAGTTTATCTTCCCATTTACAAAGGATCTATCTCCCAATTTTGTGTTGTCTTTTAGTTTTTCTCTTTATTTCTTTTTTAATTTTAATTTTAATTTTTTTTTTTTTTTT